ATAGATGAAAATGTCAAACACATTAAATACATAAAAATATATATAATATTAATATGTTTGATATTTATGATATATTTCATGGTGTAATTTTAAGTTGTAAGCCAATGATATTATAACTATATGGCATTGGAGAAGTGCCTTTCGTTAAATAGATAAATCAGTTTTTTATTATTTTTTATTCCATTTTTTATAGTTGTAACAATTAAGAATTCATTACAGCTGATATTAACTATATTGAATTCTATGATTTCTCATATCGACAACTAGTTATTGTTATAATTATTATTTTTATTGGCATTAATAGTAATATGCACAAGATATTGTAAGAATATTATTTACTCTTCAGTTTGCATGACCTTATCAAACATATGTAGGTATAACAATATTTTGTGTATAAAGAGATGATTGAAACCAAATAGGTAACTAATAAATTAAATTTAAGTATACAGTGAAACCTCTCTTAAGGGACATCTCTAAATAGTGGACACCTCCAAATAATGGACATTTATGGGTATGGGGACATTTTCACTACTTTCATATAGGAAAACCCCTAAATACCGGACACTTTTATGGCAGTTTAATTTTGATTTTGAAAATTTTTATCGTTAATATAAAATAATCGTGGAATGTCAATTTAATCTAATCTTACTAAAATGTATCATAAATTATTATACAATTATAGTTCATCTTATCCGTCCATTATCGCATCGATGAAATCATTTTTTCTAGATTATCTTGTGTGCGAGTTATCCTACTCGCATTTAGGTGTGTTTATAATTGTATCGTATTCGAACGTGTTAGGTTAGGTTAATATACATTAATGTTTTAAACAAGTTAAAGTAACTGATTTTTTTCAATTAATATTAATTTTTATTTTTAAATTATTTTTGTTTATATTTTTACTTATTTTTTCTTACACAATACATAATATGTAAAATAATACAAGTGTATAATGTATTCAAATATAATAATTATAAATATTACATGTTTACACATAAATAATAAATGTTTTATATGTATAATTATTAATTTCTCCGAGTTATTAACAATAATTTACCCCCTCTCTCTAAATGACGGAAAAAAATTGCGACGACCGGTTTCCGGTATTTAGAGGTTTCACTATATTATACAATATATATACAAACAAGTATATAAATATTATTGTTTATGCTCATTCCTACAAACGTATAATATTACAAATTTGTGTTAAGCACTTTCATTTTTTTGTATGATAAAATTTAATAATAGTGCAAATTTACCTATTATCAAACTTAAATATGAGAACATCTTTCAATATTTTAATTTTTAAGCAATTTATGAGTTTTTTAAATTTTAATACTTTATATACCTTTACTTATAATTGGCTTCAAAAATAAAATAAAGTAAAAAGTCTATGATAAAATACGTATTATGTTTCCAACGTACAGTATGTTGTTAAATGTCTTGATATAGCATAAACATTTTCTCTGTATAATATTGCATACAAATGAGATTGAGCTTTAAAAATTTAAAAGAACCATTTTTATTGTATACTTATTTTTTTGTTTGAAAAAGTTTAAAAATGAAGCTACTCGATTTGTATTAAAATTCGATTTCTACCTTTATAATATACATAGCCCACGGTTCCCAACTCATTTCTAGGAACGAAATATAAACACCTTTAGTTTTTTTTTTTTATGATAGAAAAGTGCCTATATATAGTACACCCATAAACCTATAATACGACAACATAACCAACATAACGGAGATATACTATTTATAAGTATATAAAATATTTAGATATGTGTATATATATTAATATATTACTATAAAAAACAGACACATACAATAATCACACACATAAAAATTAATCCTATCAAAGACCTTAAAAGCTTCACAGGACTATATATATATGTCAATTTACGATTTAATGATAACTCGTATAAAGCCATATTTATAACAAAGAGACCTAAAACAAAAAACCATTAATTTTTCTGAAGCTTATGTAATATTGAATGAAAATCACTAGAAAATCATTTTAATTGGATATAGACTTATTCTATACGTATGATTTTTTTTTTTTTTTGTACAAATAAACTCTTTTTCTATATCATTTTTATTTAAACTTTTATACTCAGTAGACTTCAGTAGATATATTGGATGGCCAAATAATGTATTCATTTTTCCTACTATAATTTCCATGTTATTTAAAATGTAAAATTGTATTTTTTATGGGTTTATGTATTGATTTTTCTAAACAGATAAAATTTAAATTATGCATTCACATTAAATGAGTATATTATTCATTGAATTTTTAATTTTTAATTAAAATCACCAATGTTACTAGGTAAATTTAATCTTTTTAGTGTATAGAATATTTATTATAGGCATGATTTGTACTAAAAACCATTAATTCTGATCCTTAAGTAGGCCACACAAATATTTTACATTGTTATGCTAATTTTTACGTGTCATTTATAACAAGAAGGAAGTTTTACTGTTTATGTACTTACATAAAATTGTTATACTAAAAAAATAACAAGACGGCGGTGTACCTAAATAGCCTATACATTACGCCGTGTGACTTAATTTTATGTCCAAAATATTATCATAATATTATTTTTGTATACATAACAAGATGCCGAAAAAAGTGCATAGACCTATCTTAATATTTTTTATTAGTATACGTGTAGAAGATATAGTTAATAAACGATTAAATTATATGTTATAATAATTTTATTTTTGAGTCAAAATATCATCGTTAGTAATTATAATATGTTTTATTCAAGCATAATACTGCTATAATATACGCATTATTAACTTTGGACATATAATCTATAAAAACAAATTATAGTATTAATTATAATTATAATTTATAATTCAAAAATGTTTTTTTTTTTTTATATATATATGTATACAAACGAAGTCCCAATAAAAAATTTTTTTTTAATGCACATATTAGTATATGATGTATCAAACAAAAGTATTTATCAAAAGTATTATTATCTCACCAATCATACAAACACTGAAACACGCAGCACCTCACTGCACGCGTTACGCAAGCTGTAACCACATGACGAGATCTCTATCGCACAAAATGAACGAATAGCCGAGCGGACTAAGCGTCGATTGTGTGACGCACACCGTTGCCGGTTCAAATCCTGGCTACTGGCGGCATCGCTCTCTGGGCAGGCAACTGTTTAAGTGGCGAGGCCGCCCTCCCCCAACCGGATATAGCAAAAGCCTATGGGTACCCAACTAAAAATTCTGCCAATCAGGCACCCGAACTAGGCCTTCAGGTCTACTCCCGGACATAAACGACATACGCAAAATAAAAAAATAAGGATAAACGATGCCGATCGTAAACCCATTATGTGGTGAATATAATTGATATCATAATCTATCGTTCATATAATAATATTATATTTATTATATAGATAAATAAGGAGTATAAAAAGTATAGAAGCAATATAATACATTTTTTCTAAATGTTTTCATAATATACTATCTATCAGGTTGTTAAACGTAAGTATATTAAATTTTAATGTTTACAAGGTATGGAATACCGCCGAAATAATAATATTTCTGCAGTATTTTCGTTTAACTTATTATAATATTTGTGGATTAAGTGCATATTACATATGACTTATTTTTAAACCACGTTTCGTGTTAAGAATATTTCAAAATCTCCCGCCGCCCTGTAGAATTTATATGCAAGAGTAGTTCAATATATCTTATATATTTTAGGTATAACCAAGATCATAAAATATCTAAATATATATAAGCACATATTATATAAAAATATTAAAATTTTAGTCCTTTCATATCTTTGCAACTAGTCCATTTAACAAATTTAAATAAAGTATGGATTTTTTATAATTTTTTGTGATTTAAAAATAAAAAAACCATACTTGTAATTTGTACCAAGAAATGTATTTCTATTTTATTTTCTATACATGTTAAAATATTACAATTTTATTTTATTATAATAGCTATTTATATGGAAAATAAATAAATATATAATATCAATGTATAAGAAATTTCAAACTATTTATTTCAATTATTGTCAATAAAAACATTTTTAATTAGCCAAAAAACTTGATACAAAATTCTTTATATGTTTACACTATAAAAATTTAAGAATATTAAAGATACATAGATAAAATTTTTTATAAGCATTAGAATTTCAAATTTGACATAATTAGTCAAAATTACGAGAATTTAAATCTATTTTGTACTCAAAAAGTGTTACGTTTTTTTAGCTAATGCTTGAAAATTTAACTCAATATTCCTCATAAATAATTCAATTATACTGAAATCAAAGTTTTAAAAAAATGTAAGAACTTTATTTTTTTTGTATAGACATTTGATTATTTTATTTTAAAGTTTGGCCAATATTTTATATTTAAACAAAAGATTATTATTTTAGTTATTTTATTGTAATTCAAAAATATGATACGTTAGGATTTGGATCTATTACGTATAAGTATATTATTATATTAAATATTTATATACAATCCCATTTTCAATCGTCTTTTGTATGCATTAATTTATCATTGAATTCATATTTAACACATTTATAATAATTGATCTACCTCATGACAAAATACTCAGTGTACATCTATTACTTCTATTTTTATACTCTTAATATTATACTGTACATTTTTCAACAGAATCGTTACTTAGTACTTACTTATTTTTTAATTTACAATTAAGTTACCGAATTTTAATTATATTTCATAAATAATATTAATTTTATAGGATACATTATTTTTACCTACCTACTCACTCAAAATATTAGACGATTCAAATACTTCACCTTAAGTGTATAGTCGGTACTGTTGCAATGTGTGTGTAATACACTATAAACTCAATACGATGTTAATTTTGATAAATGAGATAATAATATGTATTTTTGGTGGTTTTGGTTTCTTAGCAACATGTTGGGTCAATGACTGAAATTTTATTATATAATGTCTACACATGATAACATGGTGTAGTGGTTGGGTATTCTCGTCGTTTTTGTTCTGTCAGTTTTATTATAATGATACACATTGCACGTGAAAATGGCGTCTCTGTCGTAGACAGCGGCACTGAAGTGAAAATTTCCAACTCTGAACTACATAAAGAACCGAAACAGTCAAATAGTAATAACAAAAATAATAATGTTAAACCACAGCAACAACAACAACAGCAGGAAAGGAGGAAGAATAAAAAGATAGATAAAGTGCAATGTGACGGTAGATTGTGAGTAAAAATTTAAATCTTGTAATTTTATTTATACTTAAAAAGAAATAGCGTTTTGTTTTTAATATATTTTTTTTTTTTTATTTTTTTTTAATGCAGAAAAATTATAATAAACAGAGAAAATGAATTGCGATCTAGATGGCCAGAACGGTGGGGGTTTTATTCGAAAAACAACGTGGAAAAAGTAAGCGTATTACTTATAGTTTCATTAGTTTTGTATTTTATTACGATGTACATTTGACACCTTCTAAACAACAAAACTATAGAACAACGTTACCTTCATTTCCTTCTTTTTTTTAAACGTATTTTTGATAATTCCTTGAAATTCAAGACATTATATAGTAGGCACTAGGTACACCATTATTTTTGTAATGTATCAGTCTATTATTATAACTTATAAGTATTATTAGGTATGGGTACTACATATAGGTACTTGATGTAACTGTAGTTTTATTAAAAAAATTATCAGTCTCGGATCTACAGTATTTTTTAATCACCTATCAAGCCATATTTAGACTTTGTGTATTTCAACGTTTATTTTAGCATTTATTTTTTAATGATTGAAAAGCAATGGTTTTCTACTTAACACATATATACCACATATAAATTAAGATACATTCAACATATTCTAATTTTATATATTTATTTATTTATTTATTTATTTACTGGTCTTATACCTTATTACATACCGATTATAATAAAATGATAAAAACTGAAAATTAATTTGTATTGGTTGTCAGGTAACAGGTCTATTTGAGATTAATTTTCCTGCATTATTGATTTTATCCTTCTAAAGTCTATAAAGTTTATTCTAAAATAATGGACTATTTCATCATAATTTAAAAAATAAGATAGTTTAGGTAGGTATTTTTAATGAATTAACAATACCTACCTAACAGTTAATACCACTTTCCAAGTAGGTAAATGTATATATATTATACATATTATAATTTTTTTTTAAATTAGGTATACATGTTACGGTAAATGATGTTATATCAGAAATTAACGTTATTCGCCGGTTATTAACGTTATTTACCTACGAATGTGGGAATTATCGTTATTTTCTAGTGAATAACGTTAATAACCGTATGATTTGGGAAATTTTGATCTGATTATAAAATAAAAGAGGTTATTGCGAAAGATTTAAAAAAATAACCAAAGAACCAATCATCAAAGAAGACAAAATCGGAAATTAAATCATAGAAATCGCAGAAAAAAATTCGGAACTTGGTACTTAAATATTTTTTAATTATTTAACGATAAATTTCCGAATTTTAAATATAACAAAAATAAAACTAAAATATAAATATTTGAAAATTATTTTAAATATTTTTTTGATGATTGTCAAGAAAATATTTGTATTGCATGTAAAAATTCAAAAAAAAATTTAGAAAAACAAGGAGAGGAAATGATGAAATTTTCTAAAGAAAAGTTTCCTCAGCTTGAAATAGGCTTAACTGTATGTGCATTTATACCAAACGTTGATAGAGCTCGTGGTTCTATGCAAAATATACTATCAGTTGTCACTCAAGTTGAACATGATTTATACAAACTCTGTAAGTTAATTCTTAATGAAAAAACATACTATTAAAATTAAAATTTGTTTTATTATTTTATAAGTACGGAATATAGTTTTCTTAAATATTATTTCACGTGCCAAAAATAGCTGTTTGCAAATAAAATCTATTAGACATGGACAATGTGATAAAATTAGCAGATGGTAGACAGTTGACACTGAGGGAAGTAGCTAGTAATAATTCGGTTGCGAGCCCTCGAAGGTACCAGCGTTGTCATTGCAAGACTAGTTGTAATAATAATAAGCATTGTGCCTACCTTGGGGCTGAAAAATTATGTTATATTAAATGTCATGGGAGTAAAACTTGTAAAAATAAATAAAAAATAATAATGCATTTATTCTATTTTTAAAAATATCTGGGTACTTACATAATTTTTCAAATTGTAGTATTTGAGATTCATGCGCTTATCTGATTTATAACATCAATTACCTGTGTATTTGGTCATTAACGTGATTATCCAGTTTATAACGATAATTACCTGTATATTTGGTAAATAACGTTAATAACCGGTGAATAACGTTAATTTCCATTTAACATCATTTACCGTAACATACATACATATTATGACTAATAATGATAATAGTAATAGAAATAATATTATTAAAGCACTGTTATACACTATTGTCTAGTGGAATTAAGCATTTAAGCCTACAGAAATTACTGATGGTATATGGGCTATCAGCGATATTGCTAGGTAGATATTTACACTCAACAGCCTAACAAGATTTAACGTCTGATCAGAGAGCTAACACTATGTTTTTTTTACTCAATTAAAATTTATTAACGTACACATTTTATTTAATACTAAAAACTTAGTAATTATATGAATAGTGAACAAAATTTTTGGACAAATAAAAACATCCTAACTTTAGTTAGAGTACTCTGCTCAACATTGATTAAAATAGTGCCAAATTATTGCAAACGACGTTTCTTCCTCGCACATTTATAATTTGACTTTTTACGCAGAGTTTCGTCGTTTAATGCTTCATGTCTCCAGCTATTGCTGGTCTAATGATTGTTGACTTTTATACAGAGTATTATGAATTTTGATTTTTTTTTTCCTTTTTGTTTATTTATAATTTTATACTTACACGAACGCAGTCCATGGTGAAAAAATATACCTACAGATAAGGTATTATTATATATAATATTTATTACAGATAGATCGATTATGAAATAGAATATATTATATTGATAGAATTTAACAAGTAAAACACTAAACTGGTTAAAATTGCAAAAATATCGCGATAAATACAATTTTTAGTCACTGAATTTTCAAATGTTTGTAGATGTGGAGCGAACATGCTGTCAATTTAGGGCTACCGGAAAACTTTATTGATCTTAGAAGACAAAAACTACGTAAACAAGATATAATTCAGCCGTTGATCGAAGCAGTACCATCACCAGTTTGCGTTCCCATAACGTCGTCGGGTAAATTTTTAACTCTTATATAATATGATTTAAAAATGTTTTAATAGGTTTTATAGGATGGCGTTCTGCGCAAGGAATTTGCAATTTAGAAATGTTTGGTAGAACTTTTGATTACAATAAACTAGATAGGCGGATGTTAAAATCAGATAACGAGCCAGATCAAAACCAACAGAGATTTATAATTCTAGGATAAATGATTCATGTTTATGAAAATGAAGGTAAAATAAAAAATATTATATTCATTACATCATTTTATTGATAGTATATATACAAATAATATATATTTTTACTAGGCAAAGTAATTATTTTTAAATATCTACAATAGCTGATAACTTTTCTCCAGATAAATATATATGGATTCACTTCAACTGCAACCAGTTTTTCTCAATTTAAAAAGTCAAAAAACAACAAATTTTAAACGACAAAAACCAAGTATAGGTTTTAATGGTATTACAGATGTAGTAAAAAAAAATTTAAAACACTAAGGTAATAATTATAATTTTATAATTTATATAGTATTTTTTTTTTTTTTTTAATGTATTCAAATTTAAAAACAATGTAAACATAGATTTATACACTGTAAGTAAATGTTTCTGTTAATAATATGTTAAAAAAAATTATTAATTTACATTTATAATTTTGCTAAAGCATTGAGTAAATGTCTATTTATCAAACAATGATAAATCATTTGTTGCATACATATAATTATACAAAAAATGTAAATCAAAATATTATAAATTATGTTTAACTTTAAAATTAAATAAACAATTTAACAAAACAATAAAATATAATAGATGAATAAAAATTAAAAATATGTATCTAAGTGACCTTGAATTTATCAATAATTGTTTTAAATACTTAAGTACATTTATTCGTTTATCGTTAAGTTTTTACACTAATAAATGTACAAATGTGTTTAAAATCGTTATGATAATAATGACTTTACACGTATGGTGACTACCTACTAATATTTTTGTACGTTTTCTTCGCACCACACAACAACATGGATATATGAACTGAATTTAGCCAGAAATAAAATGAAATAATTAACGAAAATTATAAATTTAATAATTTATTTATTTCAAGCAAACCAAAGAACAAGCAAATTTTAGGAGGACAGTGATAGTTGCCTCCTCGTTGTGTCCTCTTGCTAAATTTACAACATAGAAATTTATACCTGAAAAGTTCCGGGCGCAATTTACAATTTTAAACTTTCGTTGGGTGCTATTTACGGTTTGTCCACAATTACAGATGTAAATGTAGGTATATATGTATGTATTACATAAGTCTGTTGACATTTTAGCAACTACGACCTAAACTAGTAGTTTGTTTAGAATTAATTATTCACATTAGGAAAAATTCTATTTAGAGTATTAAATATGAATTAATGTATGTTTGTATCATTAATTAATTTTTAATTTTAATGATAAAAATAAATTATATATAAACTTCAAGAATGCTATTAAACACATTAAAAAAGCATTTAGTAATCATTTAACTACTTTGAAAATTGTTAATTAACTAACTAAATGTACATTCTTATTAAATCAAAAGTATCTGAATAAAATACATTAACGTCTTCTTAAGGCTATAATACATCAATAATGAATATGTTACTATTATTATGCTATTGTAATATTGAAAATATCATTTATTTTTAGCAGAATGGTCATGGTAAAAAAATTGGATTTATAATAATACCTAAATGGTGAATACCGTCGATTACGAATTTACTACGATTAAAACATTATTAGTTATTTCTAAATACAAAGTACTAACTACTAACTACTTGGAACTAGGTATTATAAATATGAATATAACTATAAAAATGTTTTTCATGATAAAACATATACTTAGTTATTAATCATTAATTAAAATGTAAATTATAATTAACTATTAATTTCTTGTTACTTATGCATTACAATTTTTGAAGGGCCCGTGGAAGAATTTTTCAGTCGGGTCTTAAATCTGTTATAATATGTGTAGATCTACTAATCTACTATTGAATATTGTTGTGTTTACAACATCTAAATATCAAGGGTATGTATATATATGCAGGAAATCTCTTGTGGTTTTTCCAGAAAACTCGTAAGCAAGGTTTATAAGAATACGATATTTTTTCATTTGCGTTTTGTCGGTTACCCGATAGTTAAACATACTTATTTCACTGAGGTCAAATTGTTTTCTATAAAATTCTACAGTTGCGAAAAATAAATTAGTTTCTAACGTCCGTCACTCGATCTTTCAAAGTCTCATGGTTTTCCTAGAAAACGTCTCTTAGGTAAGAATTTTTTACAATTTTGAACCATACAATAATATTTAAATTTAAAAATATATAAATTAAAATGAGATTTTTTTATATTTCGTAGTTGGTAGATCTGCATTTTTGTCGAGGGATCATATCAGATTCTGTTATCACGCGACCATGACTAGCAAAAGACGTTGGCAATGCTGGCCTTCAGTGCCAATATCACTCATTCCTACAGTAGCGTTATCAGAGTAATCGCTTATCTCTCCTGCAGTTGTTACTTGTTAGTAGTTAGTTGTCATTAAATTTTTGATCGACTCATGTAAGTTAAATACCAGCTACTTTAACTTATAATCCGTATTCAAAATATATTCTTAATAAATACTTAATTATTCTTAATGATTTATTATAAATAAATACTATTATTCTAGGTATCTATAATTCTTCTAACTATTTCATTCGACGACTCTTAGTGTCCAAACCTTATAACAACGTACAAAATACCAAAATTTATCGAGCTGGTGATTTTAAGAACAATTGGCCATGTTTTGCAGAGTTCTTTCGAAAGCAGGTAAATACCTTATAATATCTACTTGTATATTGTTTGTCTGTCGATTCAAAAATTAATAACTGACAGTAATAATTAGGTTTTGGATTTAAAGGCAATATAATTAATAAAAAAAAGCATTTAATTTATTAAAAAATTAAATAGCTTGTATATTGTATATTTTAACTAGCTTGTATTAAAAAAAAATTCTGGACTGTAGAACAATTTTGAATCTAGTATCTATGCATTATGAACATATTTTAATTTATAGATACATAGTATGGATAGGTACTTTTATAAATGTTTAATTAATTGGTCATACCAAATACTTGATAAAGTATTAAGCGATATCAATAAATATAACCAATAATAAAACCCATAAAAGATAATTGACAAATAATAATGCACCGTCTTCAGAAGATTTTATCGATTTGTACTGTTAAGATGCATGTTGTGCATAAAACTATCAAATCCATTGAAAATTAAACTCAAAAAAGGCATTTATAAATCAAAAATGCATTTGTATGTAAAAAAATTTAAAAAAAAAACACATTCATCATCTTAAATATTAAATGACATACATTTTTATTTAAAAATTATCTTTCTATTATTATTATTATTATTATTATAATTATTGAAAAAAAAACTTTTGCCTTCAAATCCAAACCCTAATAATAATGCATACTGGTTGTTACATCTATAATTTTTCACTCTGTGTAATAAAGCATCTCAAGTGATTTGAGTACATAATATATCAATTTCTATTTTATCATTACATTTAACTTTTCCATTTATTCTCATGTCCAGATTTTGAATGGCTAAAATTTCTAACATAACATGACAATGAAATCAATTGATATTAGTCTAAGCATTTTATGGTGATTCTGTAGGCACTCTCTATCAATATTTCCATTTGTTTGATTGTTTCAATAAACTTTAAATATTTTAACATTGTTTAATTTACAAGAAAACTAATTAACTTTACAAAAAAAATATTATTAAAATGTATTTGACATACTTAAATGTTTGTGTATATTTTTAATTATATACTTAAATCTGATCTTGTTAGGTTTATTTTAAATAAAAAAATTTATTATTTTTTATACTAAGTTTTATTCAACATTGTAATGTAATTTTAAACAGTGAACATAAATTGATTTACCTTGGAATAATAAATTAATATCATCAGTGGCACCGATACTGTGGTTCAACTATAACATATGTCATAGGTAATTTAAGTAGATAGGTATGAGAATTGAGGGTGTCTAAACCTTGTGCTTGAAATTAGCATGTTACTTAATATGAAATAAAGTATACTTAAAAACATTTGATAGAATTTTTAATACTAATATTATATCAATAAAGTGATAACATTTCACTTTTTACACGTCAATATAATTTTATGTTGGTTCTTAATAAATAAAGAACCTGAAACTCAGCCACCAAAGTTGTTTAAAATCAATTTAGTTAAATAACTAAATTTTATTTTTACTAGTAAACTAAACTTAAATTCAATTTTATATATGATGTACATATTTGAAATTAAAAAAAAAGTACTTACCAAACATAAAAATTGCATCAAACATATAAAATGTTAGATCATATTATTTCATATTTGTAACTGTTTAGACTTTGTATAAGATACTTTGCAAGGTAATTATTATTTTATATACTATAATTACTAGTGTTTCATTTAATAAATATAAATCAAACTTGTTATCAATATTTTTTATAAAATGTTAATACATTCATTTTTTATTGATTAAGTGCTAGATGAAAAAATCTGGTCTGTAAAAATTGTGAGTAATCAGAAATCAAAAATTTAACAAATTGTCTATTGTGGTTAATGTTTAAAAAACGTTTCATTAAAAAAACTCTTAATATAAAAACAAATGAGGTAATATTGCTGGTAATACTGTTATAATTTCTTTCTTTTAGATGTATCGTGATGTATTAAGTTTTTTACATATATTTACAAAATGGACATCAATAAAGAATTTGATAATTTTCTGTCAAGCATGAAGAATTTCAACATAAATGTTGCATCAGAATTTTTATCTAATACTAGCTTTAATATAAAATATACTGGGGAAGTAATAGATGTACTTGGAAAGGGATTAACAGAAGAAAATTTTAAAAATAGACCTGATTACTTCAACTTTTGTGAAGAGCAATTACTTAAAATGGCAAATGATGAAAAGTATCAAGAGGTAATTTTTGATTTTTTGGATATAATTGAAGTAGATGATTGTAAATTATCATCATCTGTTCTAATTGTGGTAACTGTTTTAGAGAATACCAAAAATCCAAATCGAACATCCTTAGAATATTTGTTGATTAGCACTTTTAATAATTTAAACGGAATGGATGTGACAAATTTAAGAGAAATTTTGCTAAGCATAATACGACTTTTAATTAAATTAAAGAAACATTTTCAACTTGAACAATCACTATTACATTATTTTGCTAGAATTGCTTTCTTAGTGTTACGTGCTAACATAGATCCGATTGAGTATCTAAACTTATTGTCTAGTATAATTTATGATCCTTTTTATTTACTTGAATTTGAATTTGATGAAAAGGAACAAGAACTACATATGGCTTCATTCTTTTATCTATATTTTAAAACTGGTATACAATGGGGACCTAAAATTTACAATCAGTTTTATGTCTTAGAAAAATGTTGTAATTTAGCCATGTCTGTATATGATAACAATAATTTTGGAAAATCTTTTGCAAAATTAATTTTGTCTAAATTTAAAAATAATGAAATTCCACTACATTCTTTGAATAAATATCACGAAAGTTTTTTATTAGAAGCTGCACATAGTTCAGTGTATAACGAACATTTGAATATTAGGAAGGAATCAATCGAATCATTAATGATATTCTTGGATAAATTAAGCACTGATGCTCAATATGTAGTTCTTAAGTATGCATTTTTAAAACCATTGGAGTCTTCTATTAAAGACCAATTGATTATTAAGATGAAAAATCTGATTATATTAAAATTAAAATCAAATCAAGCTCTTAGATATTTTCAAGGAATAACGCTTTTAGAACTTATTCAATTATGTTGTAATATTCCTGAGAAACCTGGTTGCTATATTGAAAACAATAAAGAACATATTTTAGGCGCTATATCACTTATGTACTTCTTATCAATCAATAACAATGAAAAGTTGAATCTGGGTGAAGAATTTTTAAACCAAACTAAACAATTTGTGAACAAAATTCAAAATACTATCCATCATGCACGTGAACAGCACAATTTTGAACAAAAAGTTTTAGATGGTGAAATTGTTACTGAAAAAAACAATATAATGCAAGTAAATAATTTGAACTTTTCAGATTTGTCTAAAAATGAAAAGAGAGATATTTTATCACGGATTTACACTACTATTACATTAGTGCAGTCAAATTTGAATTTATTGAAAAGCATTATTAAAGACTAAAGAATTTCTGTGTAAAACATTTAGATTTAATATTTAGTATATTTTTTATATTTACTCTTAAATTTAAGTTACCTATTTTTATGATAACAAAGAAAATTGTTTTGTATTTGTTATTTATAAGTTGTATTTTAAAATATAATAATATAATATACTTATTATTTTTATTTTTAAGTGTGTATTTGTTATATTTTATATTTATATATATTATATACTGTGTTACTTACTATTTTAATAGTGTTATAGATTTAAATGTATAATGCAAAAAAGTTTGGGAATGAAATATTTGTTTTTACAATCCCAAGATCGAGCCAATTACACAATAGTAATCCATATTTAAAGTTATTATAGTAAAAACAGCTTAAAAACCTACAAGGTGATTGCACCTTATAATTATATTATTGAATACTAATTTTTTGGTTTAAAGAATTAGTACAAATATATAATTTGGTATATACCTATGTGAGTTTTATTTGTTTAAAGTTTGGAATAATAAATGTACATCTACGTTCTACATGGTTTAATTACAATAGTAATCTATAAATATATATATTTTAGTCTTAAATTGAACGTGAATAGTAGGGAAGTATAAAAATAGACACATGATGATTTGTTTTTATACTTTTTAGGTTTTAGCCAACTTTTTGTATTATTGTTTCTCTATAACAATGATTAAAATGTTTACATTTTATTAAATTATATATTTTACTGTGTGTGTTATAGAGCTAAATGACCTAATATAAGCTATATTGGCTTTTTAAGTAATTTATAGATATATAAAATGTATAACTTATTTTAGTTTTTTCTTGGATTTCGATTTATTTAAAGCTTGAACATTTATACTTGGTTCCTTTTAAGTAATTATTACGTATAATGATTTAAAAATATCGAATATATAATATATGAGAACAATTTTTTTTACACGTTTTCTAAAATAAAATTTTATAAAATGTGGTGTTATTCAAAGTATAAATCGTTAGGATTTAAAAATTTTTAATTACATAATTTTTAAGCTATTTATACTATGACATATGGCATTTTTGATTAATCTAGTATCTACTGAATTAAAAATACATATAACAAAAATATATCTACTTAACATAAACTATGCTTAGAAATATGTGTTGATTTTCTGTCTTGTTCGTCCAGAACTGATTTTCCATATTATATATTATATAATGGTACATATTATACATATTAAAATTTATAATTTTTATATTTTATAAACAAACTGCTATTCTATCTACTAGATATTATATAAATAGCAATAAAATAGGTAATTTAAAGTGATTCATAAAATGAATTAAAATTTTTTTTTTTCATTTTTAATTACAGAGCTATATCGCATGTTTTAATGTTACATTTCGTACTTGTATCGTATCAAGGTTTTAATGGCAGTGCAGTAGTTATATATAATATCTTAAGTTATTATTTATCGGACAAAATAGTCAAAGGAGAAACCATTACTACCTTGTCTATATTAAATCGGGTATATTATATGATTTACGAGTTTCATTTCATCCGCAGAATTTAAAATACAATGCTGAAATAATAATAAAAAAAAAACTATTTGTTTCAATAATATACTCGGAGATCACGATATTTTCTATTGAAACGGTGTGAGTGAACCATCTATAAGCTAAACGGTAGTCGGTGTAAACTACGCGTTAAACATATCAAGTCAATTTATATTATATATTACGGTTCTGATCGCTCAGGGCTTTTATATATATGCAGTCTAACATAATAGAGTACACATACTATAAATTTTTTAAAGTTTAGATAGAGAGTTCAAATACGAATTATAATATTGCATATTTATTATTTATGTAAATGTTTAGTTATAGAAGAATAAAGAATCATATTGCCTATATCTTAAGACGGATAACCCTATAGATAGATACTCTTTAATATTTTGAATTTAGAGTAGATTGAGTATAGTATGCTAATAATTGTAATGTTATCTAAGTTGAGACGGTTTGCACAAAATGTGTCAAAAATAAAGTATTTACATCATATTCGTACTTACCACATTTTCTAGTTATAGCCGCTATCTACGAAAATTATATCATCGTTGTTTATGCGTTTTGTTTTTGTGGTTTTTTCTGTACTTTACAGGCACTATTGTCAGGGCGAATAATTTTCGCGCGTCGTTTCATCCGAATATCGGCGGAGAGTTGACTTTGAGACCGTTCAGTGGTACCAGTAATCCGAACAGCAACGGCAATGGTAATTCCGACGGCAGTGGACAATCAATGAAGAATGAAAACGATAGTGACGGTGATAGTTACGAAAGGGATGTCAAAATAAAGATACTTCAATCTTCTCTACAGCACGTTCCCCGACATGGATGGTCCCGGGATACTGTAGCTGCAGGTATTCAAATTTTTTCAATTATTCTTTTTCTCTCACAACACCTTTGCCCAGGTGCCCAGGTGTGATAGCAAAAAAAGTGAGCGATATTTGAAATGGGCCAACGATATAATGTGGTAAACAGAAATCGCTCTGTGGTGTCTTGGGTTTCTTAATACGCTACCCGAATGTGTGGGCCAAACCGATTACTATTGGTAGATCTTTATTATTATTTCAATTGTGTATAAAATAAAAAATGTTCTAAAACACTCCAAAAATACTTAACGTTTATACGAGACTGCATCCTAAGTATGAACTAGTTCCTAATTTGTTAAGAATTTATAAAAAAAGTAATAATTGGTACTGTCGCCGATAAAAAAGTAACCAATCAATAAACATATGTACATTATATATATATACATATTACATATATATATATATTATATATATTACTTATTTGTATAACATAATTACTAATACATCACATTATTATACTGTTAGACGTCAGGTAGGTCGATAATTTTATATTTATCTTATCAGTGATATAAACCCAAGTGATAAAGATTACATCCGAAATTACATGTCGAAAAAAGCCAAATTACATGTAGTTCCAGTGTACTTGTATTTTTCTAGTAGTAATTAGTAAATATCTACTATCTATGGTCACTATTTTTTTTTTATGGATGTTTAAATTTCAATTTTTTTAAGATATTCATCAACATTTGAAAATTGTCTAATTATTTTTTAGATAAAAATGCTCACGATTAAATAAAAGGTTCCTCATACATTAATATTGGAAATTTATTCTAAAAATGTTTTATATAAAGCTACATTAAATATGAATGAGTATTTAAAAACCAAATGTTGATGTACTTGGATACATTTTGTTAGGAAACTAAAGATTCAAAAAACATAAATTAATTTTAAGTTGTTTACATTGTGAACCTATTCATATAGGATTGATTTTAATTGATGTATAACTTAATAACAGCTAGTAAATATAATATAGGTAAAAATTATTTTATACCTAATACATTTATCCGAACTGTTTTTTGAAAATAAAAGTTTTATTTATCCGTCATATATTATTTGAATAAAATTTCTAGGCTAACACAGTAACACTGCTGACAGACAGTTTCCGTTCAAAGTCGTTTCGTTTTTTGCTTACAAAATATTTCAATAATTAATAAAACTATGCATACAATTCGACAGACTCCTCTAGAAGATAGTATGCAATTCAAACGCACCGATAAAAGAAACTTTTTTTTTTTCATAGAAAACGTACGGTAAAAGAATAATGTGATTCATGGCCCGACCTAGTAAAACTTTAGCACAGATTAACCTTTATATGTGTTTTTCAGCTATGTACTCTATTTTATCGATAAATATTTAATGTAATTTAATGAGTAAATATTAATTTGAATCTGTACGACGATAATTATAATAATTAAAAATTGTACGCCTCGCTTTTAAATCTATGTTATTTTGGGAGGAGAACTTAAGTCGCCTCCACTCAAAACCAAAAAAAAAAAAAAACCAAAAATCGATTTGGTCTATTTGCGGTTATGATCATATCCAACCTATTATACACCATAAAACATATTATCCCTCGTTGGAAAGACATATTAGATGATGATTTCCGAACATGTCTACTCAATTGTAAGGAATTCCAAAAATACGATTCTGCTCCGCAGTGTTACGTATTATTTACCGCGTTAATCGCACTCCTGTAACGAATGACGACGAATACTGATAATGATATCATCGAGTGTACACTGTACAACAACAACAACAACAACAACAACAACAACAACAACAACAACAACAAAAAAGATGGCCTTTTACAAACGTCGTGTTGTCCCGTCCCGGCTAAACGGCGCGTTGGGCGTGGTGTGCAGTACACGTCACGTTATAATATAGTATAATAATAATAATAATTAATTAGTGATTACACGCCAATAGTGGTCTAAACGCGGACATAAACTAACCGCAGTCACATATTGTTTGTCCGGTCGTATAGGCGCCGAAGAGCTCGGTTATCCGGACACGGTGCACGGCCTTTTCCGGGACCCGGGGGCCGAGTTGGCGCTGCACTTTTACTCGGCCAGCAACGATTCGCTGTCCCGACTCCTCAGAGACGGCACGTTGGCGTGCCCCAGAGAAGAAAGGTTGGTACCCTGCCGAACCGGTTGCGCGCGCGCGCGCGCGCGCTTCTCCGCGCGTTTTACCGCATTTTTTTTTTCCCCCCCTTTTTTTTTTTGATCACAGCAAAGCTGAGCTGACCGCGTTCCTGACGAACGCCATCAAGACCAGACTGTTGATGCTCGAACCGTATTTGAACCAGTGGCCGCAAGCGATCGCCCTGCTGTCCAAACCGTCTAACGCTCCGCACGCTCTGTCCAACCTGATGACGCTGGTCAACGACGTCTGTCACTACGCGGGCGACCGGTCCATAGACGTGCGTATAACATCGTTATCAGTTTCCAAATACCTGTACTGTGTGCTGCACGTACATGACGTGTAATAATAAATAAAAATATGTGTCGGTACAGCTGTCAGTCGTGCCGCGTCCCGCCGATACGATTTTTTCCGTTCAATATTTATGAACTCGCCGACCGAACGACATGATTCCGAAGGGTCATCTTACCGCATTAGAAAATCGTACAATCGATGAAATCCTCGGTGCTCCGTTTGCTCTCGTACTCTTCTGGCTAGGCACTCGAAATTAAAAACTGTCGTTTTAATGTTTCATGATGAGAAACGGATAGGTACTTTATAAATACCAACGTGTAAAATTCCGTTTATTGCGATGTCGTCTCGTTTGTCTCGATAGTTTTGTTGGGAACATATTTCATTTCAATCGATATAAGACTCGATAGACATTTCGTTTTTTCAGTTTTTTATTGATACCTAATTAAATATCTGTCGAGAAATTTTTATTCTAATCCGAACCGGATACAATATAATATAATAAGACGAATAATTACTCCAACGGTCTCGCTTATTCCGACGCAACATATGACCGCGTTACAATTATTATTACTAATTCGTGTGTTTGTCTCAATTATACACAGACACGGTGGTACACACGACGTATAGGCTTGGCCACTATTTACAAGTCCAGTGAACTGCATTTATTGCAAGACAGATCGCAAGGATACGACGATACGTGGAATTTTGTGAGAAGAGCAGTCGAGGAATGCGTGAAATTAGATACAATGCTCGAGAATAACGCTCAGCTCGCCAAAGACGTCGTCACAGCATCGGTGTCTACGGTAAGTTTAATCAATTGGGAATCAAAATTATCTAACCCGAAAATGATCGTACATTTTAAATTTATTTATACTTTTTTTTTTTTTCTAGGCCAAGAATATTCTGGGACTTTCATGGAACAGATAATGCCGTCTAGTTGTTCTTTTGCGTCTTCGGTCGTCGACTAGTATTATTATTATGATTTTTTTTTTTTTTTTTTATTGTTCTACATATTACTATTATCATATTGTAAAAATTAGTTATGTCAAATAAATAAAACAAATGGGTACCTATAATTTGTTACTGAAATACGCGGTGTTCAACTGTTTACATGGGTAACAAGTCTATCCGTGTGAACAACAAACCTTGGTGGTAAAGGAAACAGAATAAAAAATTTTCGAGTAAATATAATTGAAAATAGAAATTGTTTTTATTAGACGTAATTAGTAGACAAAATAGATTGCTTATAATAATAGTTATTAATAGAGCAAACGAAGAATTTAAAAAGTTATTTAATCAATTTTTAAATAAAAGGAATTGGTACATGCTATATGATTCATTTAACATTTAAATAATTAATTTTAAACACAATTCTTTCTATTATAATGTTCTTTCAAACTTCGAATCATTTAATCTAGAAAGTCGTACATTAAATACACACGTAATATTAATTAATATAGAATTTATATATATATTATTAATATTAAATATTATAGAAATTACAAAAGTAAAGCGTGATTTACCTAAATAACAGTCGAGTGAATGAGCAAGAACCTCTAGCCTAAATATAATATATTCAGTAGGTAGGTAATAATAAACAATTTTACATCAATTCAATAATAATTAAAGAGGCACTCTAGTAAACATTATATCATAAATATTAAATAGTTAAATACAATTATTGGCCTTTTCCTGACAAAATAACGGTAAAACTTAACGTTAAAATATCACAGATTTTACTAATCGAAAAGCGATAGAAAAGTAAGGCATTATGTTTCGTAGTCTATATAATTTTAATATTATTAAAATACCCTACACTGTTTTTAAAAAAACAATATTTTATTGCTACAGTTTGTAAAGGTTATTTGGTAGTATTATGATTGGATACCGTGTCTCAGATTGTCTATACCACCTATATGTATAGAAAGTGGTTTTTATACGTTGCAAACACTAATTTGCTTCGTCAATTGTTGTAAGCTTAAATTGTCAGTAATATTTCTTCGTGAATATTTTTTTTAATAGCAACCCGTATTTAAAATTTATTATTTAGAAGAAAAATATTTTTTTAATTGTTGATATAAGATACGTATCACACATTGAATTGGTAGTATTTAATATTTTATACAATTTTTAACAATATTTGATAGGTACACCATAAAAAATAGAAAAATATTTATTATTTTCAGGATATGAAATGTCCTAAAACTGATTTCGAAGAAAACAAATAAACCACTGATGAAATATTACTGAACAGAGAATTATTTTTCTTACATTTATATTATGTGTAAACATTTTTGAATACAATTCTTCTATAGTTACACATATACCTATTTACTTCATATTCTACAGAAAACATGTTTTTCTTTTAAATCAAAAAAATTGACTGAAACTGATGAGTATCTCAACATCAAACAAAATTCACGTTATACAATATTATAAACATATTTTATATATTATAAGCGCATTACAATTGAACGGCAGTTTGAATTCCTAAACTATACACTCGAAACTTTTGTCGAAACAAAATCTGAGAACACTGCGGTAAACATGGGAGACTTAATCGGAAGCGATAACTCTTTTTTGAAACCTCGGTGTTATGATTTTGCATTTATTATTCGTAATAGTCAACTCTTCTACAGGAACTGCACCACGGTTATCGATAGACAGCAACGACGGTAATGACGCGAAGCTTGAAATGTTCTCTTCATCGTGTGCGGATTCGTAATGCCCTTGATCGCTGACGGTCTTGTTTTGAAATCTACACGATCGACAAACAACCCATTATTTGTTATCATTGAATTGTTATATTTTATAATATATATATATATGCTTGCAGACATTACAATTTGCAAGGTAGTTTAACCACTCACCTCAATTTTCGGTTTTCTGTGCGATTACTCTTTGTTTTTTTCTTGGAAGTTTTCTTGTCTTCGCCGCTCTTACCGCGGTCTGACCAATTTTCAGACGAATGATTTCTTTTCATTGAATCACTGGAACGTTTGTGTCTATTACCGTAACTAACCCTGAGTACAAAATCGTTAATATTATATAAATGTAATGTATCACATTTATCACATTGTGAGCATTTATAGACCATAACCTAACAGTTTTAATACCTATTTAGTAATTTAGTATCACTGAATTTATCTTTTTTATTGTTTTCTAGCACTATCTAGTTCTTAATTATTTCATAAGAATCTTTGAAGTCAAATATTAAACTGTGACCATTGAAGAATATCTAAGAACAATATCGCCATAATTAAAGTATAGTCGTCGAAATGTACCTCACTATATAACATTTTTTAAACAATACGTCATTTTTGAATTAAAGATAGAATATACCTAACAGTAAATTGAATATTACAATAAAATAATAGTAACTAGGTACTCATTCTTTATAAAATGTGTAGTATGTTTATTAGTATAATTATTTTGATGATCATCACATCATAATTGTTTATTTAAATATTTGATCATAATGTGTGATATAACAATAATATATAAAGTTATGAATAACAAAATTGTATTATACTGAACATTCATAAAACACATAATGCATCGTTTTATTTTTCTTAGTATTTTATGAAAATTTACATTTAATTTAAAAAAACAATATTTTCAGAAATGTATAGTGGAAAATAAAAATAATATTATTGTTTATTGTACTTGAAATTTACTATAAACTTGGCAGAGTTATCAAACTTTAAAAAAATTCTTCAAAATAATATTTACATTTTTTGAGTTATGGCCCTTTAGCATATAAAAATTATATTAAACATATAAATTGTGACAATCCAATAGCTCACTTAGTAGTGTCGTTTAAGCTGTCGGTAGACGACGATGAGCTCGGCACTATCGTCTGCTGAGACCGGGATCGTCTCCTAGTATTATTCGGTTTGGACCTGGGCTTTTTCTTGTCGTTTTTTCCAGGCACGTCCAATAACAGAACGTTGTTGCCATACGCCAACGTTTCCGACGGAGTGGTACACGCAGATCCCCCGATTATCCCGCTGCCACTGCTGAAGTGTCTCCTCTTTCGCTCTCTCTTCTTGCCTGTCCGTTTCTTCATCGCGCAATCTGAACTCGTAAAGTCGTATATACTGTCCGAATCAGTAATGCGGCCATAGAACATAGGTGAAAACCTGAACACTGTCTTGTCACTAAGCGGGCTTTCACTTCTCGAACTCACTGGGCTCTTCTCGTAAAGCATGTCCGTCGATAGATGCAGTGTAGACGGATACTGTTGAACCGTGATTGACGGTACCGGCTGCTGCTGTGGGTGACGACCAAGCGCTTCTGGTTCAGAACCAGAAGTGTAAACTTTGAGGCCAGTGGTGGTCATACCGGATTTTTGCGTTTCCGCTTCAAGTTCCATATTTCGATAGTGATGGTCAGTTTTCGAATCCGCCGTTTCCGTGTCGAAACCCTCATCATCGTTTTCGGAGAACGTTGTCTCAGAATCCATTTCTCTGATTTCGGGCGTGTGGATCAGCGGCGATATGCGTCTTGGTTCTTCTCCGCAGTCCAGCGGACACAGTCGGGTGTTCGAGTTGCATCGGGACGGGCCCGAGCTATATCCAGATGAGCTAAGATTCGATTCCGAGGCTATTCTGTCGGCACGGGAACACATAGAAAATGGACTAAGGTAACACATGCCTCCTCCATTTTTTGACGAGTCCGTACCGTTTTTTGTGGTCACAGACTCTGTATCTGAATCGCTCATACACGTAACGGTGATGACCGGTGGTGGTGCGGGAAGGTCCAACGATATTGGCTTCTCCATGTCTTTCAACATTTTTCTGTTGAGTGGTTTCTCTTTATGTGGTGGTGGAGACCCGGGGAATTCCATACTTGGTGAATTTATAGGTGTCGGTTGTTGTATGACCAACGTGGGTATGGTCAATTTTTTAGCTTGGGCCGCTGGTAGTTCGATTGGTACTTCTAAGGACGGTGGTTCCTTGGTAAGAAACAATAATAATATTTAAAAAAAAAATTAGATAAACATTTTCATTTGAAAAAAATAAAAACCTGCTGCTGCTGATGGTGGTGGTAGTTGTCCATATCCTTTAGACAACTGAACGCTGACTTTCTTGATATGATGGGCGTGGGAGATGGCGATGGCGCCGGCGTTGGTAGCTCGTGTATCGGTGATAAACAGTCCATACGATAGTTAGGCACTTCGAGTAATATGGACGGTGGATGTTGTAAGCTGTTCAGTGGATTATTTGAATTGTTTCGTTGCGAACTCAACATGTCCACCACAGGTAGCTGATAATAGAACGATTAAATTAATATAATATAGTTAATATCAATCATACTTTTACAATGAATTATAAATTAATAACAAATATATATATTTGTATATTACACATATAAATTATAACCTTTGTATTTCTATGTCGCTTGACTCACTTGAATTACGTTGGAATAACGATATCGCGTAGGGGATTCTTTGCCACCACTTGGTGAATGAACAGTATTAGACATCAACGACTCGTCTTCGCTGCCTACTACTTCGTCTTGCAGACTAGAGCAACTTGGTGTTGTAGATGCTGATAAGTAATTACTCATTTCCGTCATTGCCATTGCTGTGTTAAAATTCCGGAACATGGCCAAAATCGAATCAGCACTCATTGCTTTTTGACCTTTTTGACCCGTTTGTTGCTGGTATTGGTTTAGCGACAATGTATTTGGATTTCGGTTCTCTATCAAAAACGAATTATTTTCACTTAAATCATTTAAATAGTCACTATAATTTCAGTATTTTGACCAATACATTACTAATTTTTAACCATGTAATTTAAAAATCAAAAAAATCAAAAATAATAAAATAAGTAACTTAACAAGATTTCTGCACAAAATTTAAATTATTAACTCTTGTTAGAACGATATAAATTTACCTAGTACACCTTCTAGACTGGACAAAGAATCACTGCCTTGGTTGGGACATGGCCTTCTCAAAGTTTTTTTAGATTGAGCATCTACTTCTGAACTTGTAGAGCTCATTTCTGATTGAAATTTATTCATTAGCCTTGCAAACGTGACTTTCTTTTCAATTTTTTGAACAGCTTCGTCTGGATTTTAAATTTTAACATTTAGTCAATTGTTTTCGTTAGCTTCACGAATATACTATAAATAAATTGTGTACATCACCTATTGAACAATCGTTTGAAAAACTCGTTTCTTGTGAAATATTTGACTGTGGTAAGAGTATATCGTTAGGTCCGATATTATTAGTCGATAGCTTGTCAACTAAATTTATTTCGTCGTTAAAACTGGCTTGTCGTTCGAGCCCAGGTGATATGAGCTGTTGAAGTATTTCTGATTTATCTGCTATAGTGGTACGAAATTTTGATGGCGAAACGCTTTTTTGTTTGGCGCGGTATTGATTGAATCCTAAAATAAAACGATTATTCTTAATCGAAAATATCCACACGTACTCCGCTTTAATTTATCATATTAATAATATATATACTATTTATTATATTTACAAGACTTAAATTACGTGCTATGTATTGGTTAAATAAAATATTATATACAAGCTAATATACGTTTAATGTCGTGAGTCGTGACGTATAGGTATTATTGTAATAACATTAATAATAGTAATATTAATAACAACACTAATAATAATAATAATAATAATAATAATAATAATAATAATAGTAATAATAATAATAGATAGTGTTAGAGAGCAAGTCCAGGTGAGGTGCCAATATATGTATTTGTATGTGTGTGTGTGTGTATTTATATACATATACAGTACATAAATTATGTATTTAATTATAAAAATAGAAGTATATAGAAGTAGAAATAATAGTCATAACATTTTAAAGTGCAATGCGGTGCGAATAGGTGGTGAAGGGTTTTGGGAGAGGGCGTATAGTCGACACCTTACTCGGAACTTGTGGCCTGAGCAAATCGTCCAGGCTGAACGTACGGGCCGTCCGGCCCGTCTGTAACGGACTGGTGAGGCTCATTAATGAAGGTTTTCGTATACCCAATCGTCTGAGGAACGTTTTCGGCTGCGGCGGCGGCGAGTTACCACCCTCCGATGGTGTCGCGCCGTTTGTTTTCACAGTCGGCACCAGGAGTTCTCCCCGTACGCTCGACATCCGCCCGGAAGCATTCACTGTAACTATATAATTTTATTGTAAAAAAACAATGTATTAGTATTGATAACTTGCATTGCCGGCCGCCAGTTAAATTCATGCATTGCTGTGTAATACAAAAGTCTAAACGCCCACAGCGGTGGGTCAGATTTACGTGTATATGTATAAGCTATAGGGGCGGTATCGCGGAAAACATTTTGGGTAAGAATACAAAGGAGATGGCGAGCTAGATAAAGCTCGGTAATTTAACACAAGATTTAGCCGAATTACTGAAAAGTTTAAAATGTTTGGAAGCTAAGCCCAAATAGCGTCTATGTAGGGGACTATGAGGAATAACGTTAACACTATAGTCTAAATCAAGAATCACCAAATGACGGCCAGTTAACAAATTTTATCCAGCCCGCAGACAAAGAATGAATAACATGTATTTTATACCTTTATTTTATTTATAATTAATTTTAATTTTTAATTTTTTCAAATATTTGTAGTATTAATTGTGTCCTTAATGTTTATAAACAATAGCAAATAATAAATAAAAAATAAAATAATGTTCTTAATACATCCAATTTTAAAATAACACCAATTGTATGTTAAAAATATGTACTTAGAATTTTGATAACCTGTTAAAAATGTTCAGGTTCCTAATGAGGTCCTTTAAAAATATTAATTGGTAACCTCTGGCCTAGAAATACCTACTATATTGTCTACAGTAAAAAATGTTGAATGCGACAAAAAAAAAAAAAAAAAACATATAATACGATCTGTTTGTTGGAAAAGTATCCTTTAAAACAGAGTACGCTCATTATAAGGTCATTAATCATTATAATATATAATATATAAGTAGTTATATAATACATGGAAGTTGACAGTCATTAGAATTAACAAAGTATAAACGTGACACAAATATTATTCATTACTCATCATTGCATTTTTGTTTTTTATTTATCTAAAATAAAGCGTTTTTAACTCATTCGCAGTTTGATTATTTTACATTATATACATTTAATGAATATAAAATGGTAAAACTAATTATATTTATGTATTTTTCGTTTAAAATATATCAACATTTAAAAAATTATCAGGCTTTTTAAACTTGTTTATTGAAATTAATTGTTTTAAATAACTAACGGGATGCGAATATATTGAAATATATTAGTAAACCTAATATACGTATACTCGTACTATTATTTTTAAAAACTATACTACGAATCTAAAAGTTTTGCGTAGAAAAGTATTTTATTTTTTTTAATTAAAAGTTTTATTTTTATTTAGTTTTAGTTTCGGAAGATATATTATTATAGAATTGTAATAAATTTAAAACTTCAACAGTGGTAAATATAATAATTTATTAATTAAATATGTAAACGAAAAAAGTATATTACGATTTCAATTTTCTTTCAGTAGGTACACAATTTCGATCAAAAAAATAATGTGTTCCTAATTTCATTTTAAAGTGGAATAAAATTATCATATTATTAATTAGTTTTATTATGTTTATATATTTTTATTTTATTATCAATGTTTTTTTTCATGTTATTATTATCATTCACCACTAGTATTCGTATAAATACAAACTCTGCTCTCTGCTTGTACCTACTTTGTACCAAAATAAATCAATTTTTGCTATTTCCATTCGAACTAACAATATTATATAGGTATCTATAGGATTTATCTACCTTGTATATTAAACGTGCATAAAAAATATAAATATCTATACCTATAATGTTGTACAAAAATATGTTATATAGTGGTAAAACACATTTGTATACTCACAGTGTCTACTGCGTTCGGCTTCTTCGGATAATATTTTCTCAATTTTTTCAGGTACGTGACGTTTAGCACACCATATTATTCCCAGTATGCCCATGACCACGAACACGGTTAGTAGACCCAGCCAAAATGGTTCTTGAAGCATTCGCTCCGTTAACGGCTTGTACGTGATGTGCAGCATTTTCCTCTCGCACTGATCACCTGTAATACAATAAATATCATATAATACATATAACGCGTGACGTGAGTAAAATACGTAAAGGTAACCTTATACGACCATATAAGTGTTTATGTAGCTATGTTTTATTTGTTATTTTTATTGTTATATAGTAATAATATTTATATTATATATTAGATACATTGTTTTTGTTTTTATTTCCCCATTTATCATTTTCGATTAAGCAAGTACTGGGTAAAAGGTACTTACCCGTCCAGTAAGCATAACACCTGCACTGATAATCGGAATCGCCCAACGATACACAATCGCCTCGGTCCTTGCATGGATTGAGTTCGCATGGTTTGATCTTTTCATCACAAAATCGTCCCATATATCCGTATTGGCATTTGCATTTGAAGCCATTACTACCAGTTAAGATGCATTCACCAAAAACGCAATATCCCAAATCACAGTACGTAAGCGAACAGAACGTTCCTGTATACATCAAGTAATAGTAAAGTGTTAAATAAAATACATAATTTTTTTGGAAACGTTTTTCAATTTTAAGTTTTTATTTTTCACTTAAACGGATTTATTTATAGTTTAATGTCACGTTATGTAAACTACTAATTAGTTCCGCTTAGTTTTAAACATTTCATGTTTGTTTTATTTTTTACTTATACATTTATTTTACATAAATTAATTTACCTTTAATTATTGAATTAAATATATTATTTATGTGTAGTTATGTTTATTTAAACAAATAAAAGAATTATCTTTGGAAACCTAATTTTGCGTTTGACACATCAATTACTGTACTGCATGATAAATATTAATACATAAAAGTTATAAGCTTTCCTAATGTAGTTCCATCGCAAAATGTTTTGTATGAAAATATTAATGTTTATAAAGATAAAAATATTATATTTTATTTTTTATATCCTATTTTTTGTTTTATGGTCGTATTATAACTATTATAACTTTGCCTTTTTGTAATATTTTCTGGTTTCAAAGTCTATTAATGTAAAAATATAATACGGCTTACAGCCCAACTAGAAATATTTTATAAATGCTATATTTCTTCATAAGCTTATGTACATAAATTATGAACTTAACAAGGCAGAATATAATTAAATAATAGGAATCTGTGTTAAGTACTTATTTAATTATTTAAATATTCAATAAATATTTTTATATTATAAAAAATATTCATCTTTAAATATTAATTGTTATAATTATATGTTATTGAAATACATCACAGTGACAATTATGTGACGATAAGAATTAATGAGATAAAATTAAAAATAGATTAAGTAATTTAAATTAGAATTAATTGACTTAAATCAAAATAAATTAATATATTGACATAATTTGATTAATATTATTTTAATATTAAAATGTTGAGTTCTAAAAGCGTAAAAATATTGAACAAAAAGATACATATTTTAACTAGCTATACAGGTATAACATTTTTGACATTCCATAATATTATTCAAATGCTAGTTAATAATACGTCGTCTGATAATATGAATCATTTTTTACCTCGCTTGTTGATATTTGATCAATATGTGCAATACCCGTGGATGTTTATTACATTTTTCAACTAGTATACTTAATACGATATAAATTACTTTAGAAGTTATCTAAAAATCATATATTTACCAGTATAGTTTCCGTGACACTTGCAGTGATACGTATGCGTGGCTTTTCGGGTGATACACGTACCACCGTTTACGCAAGGATTGGGCTTACAAGACTCTATTCTAGTGCTGTTGACTGTTTCTGGAATCTTTGCCAAGGCAATGAGTTTCTTTTTGGATTCAGCATCTGTATATTATACATAGAATAAATTGCAACATATTAAATTTCATAATGATGTGTAAATTTTTTAACAACCATGTATAGTAGAAACATACAACCATTAAAAAAATATCAGACTATTAAAATATATTTTAAAACATACTGCGCTCGTGGATTGTCGGAAGTGGTGGATTCGTATACGGATAGGTATACGAGATTTAGTGATAACTCAAACAAAAGAGTGGTCATTTTTTTTTTTTTAATAAATAGTTTTTAACATAAATGACTTTTAAAAAATCACCACTTCAGAAGCAAAATCTGTGTTTAATCGCAAATATAAAAGGATGATGTGCTGCGTTCAATTTTCAGAGCTTTCATATAACTCGCAACGATTTCAGCAGAAAATAATTAACAACAATGCATTAATTTAACTGAAAATCATTTATGATGTAAAAAAATAAACATTTCACGAGTGACCAAAAAGCTACAACGCATAAAATATAAACCTATTCCTTCATTATAGTTTATAACATACGTAATAAAAACGATATAGTAATGGTACAGTACTAACCGGGTTTTACGTTCACTGAAATATTTGCGGATGCTATATCCATTGCAGGCTTCTGACCATAAACAACGACTACAGACATCGAGTTGAGAAACGAAGTGATCGATATCGGCACAGACTTTGGTTGTTCAATATTTTCACACAGTAGCCACCAAGTTCCATTCTCAGCGGCGTAATGATCATGGATCTCGATAACAGTCGTGGACTGTTGACCCGGGCATACGGTACGGCCTAACGCCGTGTCCACTGCAAAAATTTTCAATTGAAAACTATGTTCATGACGAGAATCAGTTTAGAAAGGCGTAGCACCGGAAGTTAGGTTGCAACATACTCATGTAATAATATGTCGATGACGACCATCAGTATATATTTATGGATACCAGGTACAATATACAATACAGTGGTATAAACACTGAAACGGTTATAATTTCGATTTATTTATTTTTTTCAACTCTTACTTTGCGCTGGCACCACTCGGTTAAACTGCAATTGAATGTTGTGCCCGATCGAAGCTAATAGCCTCTGTTTGTATCGCAATTTAGGAAAGTGCATCGGCAATGGATAATTTAATCTGTACATGAATCCAAATGTGTCATTCTCTAGCACGATCGCGCGTTCTTCGTCAAAGTCCACCACTATTCATTATTTTTACGAACATATAATGACGTTAAAATATTCGTACTACTTTAACCGTTGTTATAATTCTAAAGTATAGTCAGCCATACGTACCCATTTTATACACTATTTTGAATCCTCTCCCCCTTGGTAAGCGATTTGTAGAGTATTCGATGTTAACGCTCTCGCCTTCCGACAAAAATGCACCATCGTTAATTGAATTCCGATATCTAAACGGAGTTATATTGTCTGCGGTTCTCGACAAATACAACTTAAATGTTTGGGATTCGTCTAAGTTATAGTCAATAAAATCGATCCATATACGGTGACCAACTAGAAGACGCAAAAATTCATATTAATTACACACTCACATGTCACAACAGTACAATGGTTTTATAGCCACCGCCCTGCTCTCACCTGGTGCTAGTATCATGGTGACACAGTTGAGATTTGGAAGTATGAAGTTAGGATAGTTAGGGCTAACAACTTGTCCTTCAAGAGCGGACAGCGTTTGCGACGGGCAACCGGACATGTCGACGGTGTTCCACTGGAGATGAAAACCTGAACTGGATACGGAGTAGTCAGAATGGAAGTGCACAAACGCCTCATTTGAATCGGTAACGAAGATGTAACTGCAACAATACGCGAATTCGACATTGTTAAACCGCTGTACATTTGTGTTTGTTATAATTTTATTCTTTAAATGTTTAACACATAAATCATAATTTCAAATATTGAAGTAATAATTAAAGTATAATCTCACTCTTCCAGATGACTCCCGCGGTAACCGCAAACCGTCATTGTTCGGTTTTCACGTTCTTTTGGTTCCACCACGGAAACGAAATCGTAAAGGCAATCGGCTTGTGGTTCAATATTTATTGAATCAAACTGAAACACGATGCGTGACTGATACGGGCCAATAACGTGTATCCAATAGTCCAAGTTGTGATAATAATTGGCCGGATAATTTAGCGACGTTATTATTCCTTTTACGCCGGACATCGTGGTGTTTAAATTGTAATGATCCGATAATTCTTGTTCAATAATTTTAACAATTTATAATAATTTAGTAAATATATCAACCATTGATATTATTAGATAATGTATTAAGTATAATATATTAATTCTAGAATTATCCAGATTAAGTCATAATTAGCCAATATATCCTGGACAATTTAGTAAAATTTTTCATTATACATATTTTAATAGTTTTAAAATTATTACAATACATTTTTTCACGATTAAAACTAACTATGTGATGTTGATTGAAAATCAGAATTGATCATAATTTTTATAAGAATAAGGGGTAAATGATTTTGCGTATATTTTTTTTTTTTAACAATATAATAGAGTTAATTCTGGAAAGTATGTTTTTAAAACATTTTAAAATATTTCTAATAAATTATGTAGCAATCTAGTTTTGTTCTTATGTTTTGAAAAAAAATTGTCATTTTTCAATAATAAATATTAAATAAAATTTTTACTCATTAAAAACATTTTTGGTTTATTTTTAACAACAAAAAATATTGTATTTTATATAAATTCGAATGTTAGGGTCAAACACTCGACCAAGTTTCAATATCGATCGCCACGTTGTGAAAACCATAGTTAGGTATTTTGTCGTCATGTAAACATATTTATTTATACAAAAAAGGTTTTTCTTCATTAGTCATTCCAGTTAACATAGTACAGCTAACACTTATTTATTATCAATAGAAATTACAACTTTATACTCAATACAATGTTATGAGTATTACAAAATATTGTTATCGTTATAATTATTATAAAATTGTAAACTTACTTGTTTGATTTTTTTTACAAATATATCCTCCGACCGTGTTACAGTCGTTGGCGGTCCAGTAAAGACCCCTAGGTAGATTTACGGGTGGCGATGATAGCCAACTAATCGCAAGACACATATCCTTGTACGTAAATGCGTTCATAGCGTCGGTTGCCAACCAAGCTGTGCATATATATTATGATTGTAATAACAATTTATTTTATTACGCGAATTAAATTTTTTCAGGAAATACCTAAAACGCAAACAACACTAGACAAACCTGAAAACGTTTCTGTTGAGTTGTCCACCCAGTACCAGGATTTATCATTCCACGTTGCACCCAACCAATAAATTGCGGATCTGCTGTCCGTCGATTCTCGGATAAAAGATTCGACAAACTGTTCTTCCTCGGCATTATGAATGCTCGACAATTCCGCCTGGGGAAACAGCACACAAACACGAGAAAATTTTAAAAATGTTTTCAATAGCCATATAGCTCTATATCTATAATAATAATAGTGTGAAAGGTACTTTTATTCCATTGCAGATACTCCTAGCGGTATGCCAAGACACTTCCGGGTAACTGGCAAACAAATAACACGACCCATTGAACATTTGCTGTCTCGCATCGTCACACTCGTTGTTGACTGTTTGTCACGCACAATAAAAAATTTTATTAGCAAATAGTATTGCCGCAACGATAATCTGTAATGTGTATCACTGAATCGCCGACGTGCGTTACTTACCGTGTTCGGCTGATACGCGAGCCTTGAATCCGCTGAACGCGTGTGAATAGTCAGACACGAAATGTATCCTCAACTTGGTCCTTTTCGTGACGAACCTAGTTAATTTGAGTACGTCGCTCTTGTCACCACAATGTTTAGGACCCTCATCGTCATCACCCGGAATTAATTCCACGTAATCGTAACTGCAACTGTAAATAACCGTGTATGTAACTTTGATTGGGCTATTTTCCAACTAGTAATCATGACTTTGAACGAGACAAAAATAAAACTATGGACAATGATTCATGAAATTTGAGTGTCAGCAAAAAAAATATTGACATTCCATCAATGATTATTACAAGACACATTCAAATTATATTAAAAAGTGAAAAATATATAAATTTTGCAATTAATAATGCAATTAAATTCATTGATAATAATTACTTCTATAAATTTTCTTAATGATTTACTATTGTAAATATATATATATATTACATATATAGTTATATTATACACTTAAATATATATATATATAATTAAATTATTACTATTATAAATTAAAATGTATATTTAAATATTTAAAATTTGAGGAGAAAATATTCATAATCTAAGTAGAAAATAATCTTTATTCTAGAATAAATATAAATGTATATTATATAATTCATGCAAACTGTTGATGAAATATGAATTTGAACTTACGTAGATTCATTTTCCAATGTGAGTTCTTCGAATTCAACTTCAATCTGATAACCTCGTGGCACTTCCACACTGAAAGTGCAATCTTGGTTATCAGGATAAGGTTGTGGAAAACCGGGACTTGAGATTGAGGCAAACCTCATCTCACTAGTTAATTTTATCGTGACATTACAAGTCGATTCGTCTGGATCTAACAAAATAATATACAAATACAACTTATAAAACAGATAGCCAATATTTTTTTCTCGTAATTTTTCCTACACATATGATATATAAATGATATATTTCATTCATAACAATATACGGTACAAATTAAATTGTTACCATTGTCGTTTAAAGAAGTGTGCTGTTGTGTTTGGCATAGAAATCGATTTTTCACAGAGCAATCACGGTCGTTCCAAGTATAAGATGAATTTCGATTAAAGTACTTGAGCAATCGGTTTTGGGGCCTGTACACTTGTCTTAGCTCAACGCAATCCTGTCTACTAAGTCCATCGTCGTTAGGCTGTTTTGAGTTTGGACCACTGTACGGTTGGTGTATGTGTCCTTGATACCAATCTATAAAATAACGAGAAAACAGTTTTGTCGATTATCGTCTGTTTATCTACACTAAATTATTGGATATTGACATATTGACATATTGTTTACATATCAGTGGCCGATTATCATTGACATATTATAAAGCTAATAAACCATACAAAATAAATATTTAGTAGATTTTTTTGTTTATTTATTATTTTATGCGATACCGTTAATAATTCGACTTACTGGAATAAGTGAACGGCGATGAATCTGTCCATTTAAAAAACCCTTCATTGTTCATGTCCGTAGCTCCGATCCAATATGGGGCGTTGTCACTGTAACTCGGGCTTAAAAAAAAAAATCAAAGTTTAATATTCGTAAAAAAACTGTTCGTGTTGAGTCAAAATCATATCAACATCAAGTCACAAATAAATTACAAAAGAATTATATTACTAAAGAAACATATTTTATTTGTAAGCAATAAGAGTTGTTTCTGATTTATGTTTTATAAATACAATTCAAAATATACACATATAGTACCTATATGTTATGTATAAATATTCTATACTCGCTTACTAATAGAAAAATTTGTGCCTTTGATTTTAATTTGTCTTTACTTCATTAAAAATAACTCTAAAAACTATCTATTCCACATTAATTATTCCATCCATACCATTTCTCTTCTGGTATGAATCTCTAACTACTTGATTTCGTCAAAATAGTATTGGATAATTTTAATTCCCGTCTATGCATCGTCAATACGACTATTGATGTATCCCGCTTTAATTAACGTCAAACTATTTCCCTTTGGCCTTTTCACAGTTTATTTATTCGCTCACTCAAATGACTGATGCAAAACACGCAATTAAGTCAAACTTTTTTTGTGTGTAGGGTTGATAGTAATAAAAAATAATTAATTTGGTTAATAATACAACTGAATGTTTATCTCATGATATGTCATAAATGCTTTAAAGCAGACAAATGAAACAAGTAAACAGTGTGCCAAAAATATGTAATTTATATTAAATTTCTGACAAATCATCCATTATATATTTTTCATTGAAACAGTACTACGTTTTTTCAAACTATATTTATTTCATGATCTTCATTAATCTATATTATATTCTGTCACATTGTGAACACATGCACACGTCAATGCCGATACACAATGACCCCTTGACGACAACTGATGAGGATGATCATATAATGGGTTTACTTTAACCATACGGTCAGTTTATTATGTCGCAAGTCGAATGCGTGACAATATTACGTGAGTTCTAAAAATTTATTTTTCTGTTTTCTATCGGTAGACCACGGTGGTATTGTGCCCCAAAATGAAATAAAATGAACAAAATAAAAAAAAAAAAGTCGTAGGCATAAAAAAAAATATTATTCAGAGTCATCGGAATATAACAATCATGCAGTAAAAGTTAAACATTTCATTTATATACCTATCGTATATTATATATATATCATAATATTTCAATTACGTATAACATGCAAATAGTTAAAGTAAAAAATGTAAACTCAATGGATTATTGATTACAAGGAGTGGTTACTCTTCATTGATACATTAGGTACCTATTGTTAGAACTCATTGTCTACCACCTTATCATGAAATAGAAAGCGTTACTGCACGATATTTATTATTAATACAATTTTTCCGGAAAATAGAAAAGGAGGCTTGTTGGAGAATTATATCGCAAATGATAAACAACACCGATCCACAACGTACAAGAAATATACACACTTCGCGTATAACATGTACAAACTATATAAATATGCGTCTTACCTATTGATCAATATTGTGTCGATGAGCATTTGCGTACGATAACTGTCGATGCTGGCCAAATGACCTCCACCGCCGTTTTGAGTGCAATATTCTTCGGCGTCTTCCCAGTTGAGCAATTCATTAACGATGGTTAGACACCGGCCCGCCCTAAGCGACACTGAACCGTACGGGCACTGGGACACCACTTCCGGTATCGGTTCGGCCCGGTACGACACCACTAGCGTTGGCACATGTATTGATGCGGACGATGACTCCATCACCACTACGTTCGTCTCAGATATCATAGACATCTGTCGCCTGGGACCGTCGGATGGTGCGCAGTAGAACCACCCGACTGCGCCATCAGTGAGCCGAAACAATGTGCCCGGACATGTGGTGGTTGACTGATGAATTGGAAGTGTGTCGATCTGTGACACATAATATGATAAAGTGGTATCACTATGTCTGTACACGAATTAAGTTTTAGCCGGAAATATGCATATAATATAGCCAATAAAGATATTATATGAATATGTATAGCATTATAGTAGTAAATCCAGTGATCCAAACCTACCCAGTACCCGTCAATTATTATCGTCTACAATGGCGTCACGAAGATATTTTTTGGAACAATTACTCCAAACAATTATAAGTGAATGATCAATTTTTTTTTGAGTGTCAACATATTTTTATAATTAACAATTTAACTATAGTCATTAAATAATTAATAATATCTTAATTTTAATTCAATATGATTAATTAGCACTATACTGTAGATATATTTTATGGATTTACTTTAGGAATCAGCACAATATACATAGTACGTTTTAATATTTCCCTATTACTATTCACTGGAAAGACATTAAATGTGAATGATGCGATTAGATTATACGTATTCGTAGGGTTTTTATTATTGGAAGTTATAGGTTAGGTAATAAAACAGATAATAACTTGTTACATTAATGTTTATTGATATCGTAAAATAATATTAATAATTCTTTTGTAGTAAAAATAAAATGTGCTCGGAGAAGTCTTAATTATTTTTATTAGTGGGTGGATGGCTTTAATATTTCCTCTTATGGATAACGTTTTTGTGACACAATCGATCATCTATCATGATTATATTATGTAAATACAGTAAAAGTTTTATAAAAGCTGTCTTTTTTATTTGATGTCTATAAATAAAATACATAATATATAAGTGACTGCGCATTTTACATTGACTTGTTGTCTAACGCATAATCCTCGGAAAATCGGAGGTTTGACCAAGATTCGTTGTACCACTGTCCAACATTCTAATATACATATTATTATAATCACTCGCCAATGGTGATGCGAAAATCATTGGTTATCGATCAAATTCACGGTGGAAAAATTTCGTCGCACAAAATTGAACGATAGAGACAAATTCAAAAAAAAAAAAACCGCTGTGACGACCATTTCAAAATATTGTGGCCACATCTAAACTCGAGAACCGTGAATAATATTATTATAGTGCCGTTAGTGATCATCCCAGTCTTGTTTATAAAATCCAGATTGCAAAGACTTAAATCTTCACTGCATCATTTTAACAATACATTCTTCTATGACAACTTTTGTAACACGTCGATTACAAATACGCAGTGAGGTTATATAAGCCTTAGGTGCTCTGCAATTAAAGTAAGGCAACTTCTATTCATATGCCTTAAATTATATTATTATATTCATTATTTACTATGATTCACTCACGATAAGTAAATAACCACAATAATTGCCGTGTTTTGTTTTTCATGTCCAGGGGGATTGAGTTTTGCAAGACAACAACATTATACCGAAACTAGTCATGAACAATCTTCTACATCACTTCCAACACAACAAAAAAAAAAACTAACCACCCCGTCCCGTTCTTGAGAATTATACGCTGAGCCCCACGTAAAATTAGAATGCGTACATACGTTACCTAATTTATCCTAACCCACATCCACTTCTTCCTTGCGATAATAACGACATCAGCATATTATACCTCTATGACACGTACTAAGAATTAATTGTATAGTTATGTACATAATGTGTGTATATTACATAGGTTTCGAAAATTCAAGTAGGGAATAAGTAAAATAGTCATGTAACATGTAACTACGCATTATTTTCATCGTTTCGTATTATTCATATAATCAAATATATACATTATACATGTATAACATATCAATATGATAACGTATACTGAATACACAGAGTTATCATATAATTTATTAATTATTGTGTAAAATTGAATAGGACGTGAATTAGGGGTGATGATAGTCAAAAGTAAGCGAATATAATAAGTTTTAGTGTTTATACTGTTTGTATAGATATAACAAGCATATATACCACCTAATATACTTCGTTTAACTATAGTAGATCAAACGTGATTTTTATTATTATTATTTATTTATTGTAATAAAATAATTTATTATTAATTCAAAATGTACATATTTTAGATTATTTAAACATTGCATATCTATTAAATAATAAGGGTCGTCTAAAATAATAAAAAGTTGACAACGAATAAATAAAAGTTGCTTCTGAGGATAAAACGCCAGTGAGACACAATATAAAATTAACTTAAATGTAGGAATAAACTTAGATATCTGACTAAAATTTAACACAGATTTAATCCAATAAATAAAACGTAATTAACATTAAATATTTATTAATTCTGAATGTTTATTTAATATTTAAAAAAAAGTTTTTATATTTAATATACTTTTCAAATTGATGACACAGTTCCATTGCCGTTTTTTTTTATAGCTTACTTCCACATTCGAAAATAACATGAACATTTAGTTAGGTCATATTTCAGTTTAAATAATAATATATACAAATTTGTTTTATAGTTTTCTTTTCTTATTATTATTATTATTTTTTATTTTTTTTTTTGTAAGTGAAAATGTTTTAAAGATTTATATTTTTTCGAGTATAAAATATGAAGTTTAAACATTATTTTTCTTATTATTTTTATAACCTCAATATCTATTCCGAGTATGAAGTACAATATGAACAATAGTCTATTTTTTTTTCTCTCGATCAAAATTATTTGTTTGATAATATTTATATTTAAACGATATTCACATTATATTATAATAGCAAAAAAAACTAATTTTTTAATATAAAATCAAGTTTTTATTTATTATTCCCTTAAACTAACCTATTTAACTTATTATACAACTTGTGATTAATTTGATTTTAATACTAATTGGAAACTTAATATTATTCTGAAACGTGTAATACGAGTAAAATTATTCTCTTTGATAAAATATTATAAGAAACGTCATTAACAATGTAATATTATTATATAATAGTGTGTATCATCATAAAGACACATTTCAGAGAAAAACGCGGTCGATGGGATAGAGTTAATCAACTGATCGTCTAACATTTTGTTAATGAAGGTAGCTATATAATATTCTTACATAATATAGTATAAGAGTATGAAATGTAATCAAAAATGAATTTCATCATCATTATTAGTATTATGACCCATTCATCAGACTTTAAAGATTGGTGCACTTTTTGAACACTGTTATATAATTTTAATCGTGAACCATATTATTTCAATTCGCAGATAATTTATAGTATATTTGAATGAATAATGAAAGAATAAATTAATCATATTTATTGAGTTGTAAGAAACTGCGGCAAATTATCGCGACATTTATAGTATTTTGAATTATAACTAACCTCAATTGGTCACCATTTCAGTCACAAAGCAGTCATTTGTAAAAAATAGAACAATGGTGTATGATTTCAAAATATCTGTTCCCTATTTAAATTAATATCATGGATATGGTATTATTTAAATTAAATAATACAAAAACGTTTTTTTTTAAATATTTTGTCTCTGGGTGAATGTTTTGATCGTCAGATATTTTATTCTTAAAATAGTAGTCTGTGGAAATTAGGTATAGCACGTCTATTATATTTACTAAAATATAATTTTATATCGTTCGTTTAGTTTATAAGCTTTAGAGCCAACAACGTTTTGTGACAAAAATAATTGTATACCTATAAATTTTAAACAGGTAATCAATATAAAATGCATTTTATCGTTGTTGTTACGGGCATGGATCAAATAAAACGAACATGAAATGAAATAATAAACCTCGTGAGGGACTTTTAGTTTTTTTTTTTTTTTTTTATAGATAGTTATCGTTGTAGTCTTCGGTCACCCTCGGTCAAACCGCACGACGTTCACGTATTCGTTTGTTGTTTTTAATAAAATATGTTACTCGTGGCATTCAATAAATGATCCCAAACGATTGAAATGCTTGTTTATTGATGATGGGCTGACCGATCTCCATGTTTCACGTTGAACACGACGATTTGTATTATACTATTATGTAACGGTTTTTTTAACTATTTTGAATAAACTCGGGACGATAAATTTTGGTGATATGAAATTACTTAATGGCCTGCTACCAATCATTTGAGCATTGATTAGAATTCGTGTCCAGAGACGACAAGTATCACTTCGATAAATAAGAGTAGATTTTTCAATATTCGTCCGTTGCAACCCTCTAAATTTAAACAAGATCACGGAAAACACTGATGAATGATTATTGTATATGATGTCGAATGCCGATAAGTCACGTATTGTAAATTCGTTAGTTATTATAGAGATTTGGTAAATATTGACTTTGACCTTAGCTTCAACGCCGGCAATATTTAAATTTACATTTTGTACCGTATAGATGCCAATCAATAAAAATTGTTCAAAGCAACAAAACCATGTAATCAGTATTATTTTAATTTTTACTAGCAACTATTTAAAAGTTTACTTTAGAATATTACACATAATTATTATTTCTAAATGTTGACATTATTATATTATTATTGCGCTTAATGATTATTTCTATTATCATTTTTAATATATATATTTTTTAATTAATTAACTTTTTTATTCTTATTGTAACGAAAACACTTTTTGGGAGATAACTCAGTCGACCTCCATACGGTGTCTCCTGGATAATGAAAATTGGCTGAAATGCCTCAACTCAAACAATGTAATAAATATTGGTCGGATTCAACTCCAATAACCCAAAATTATTTAGGGGATTTAATCCAATATCACCGAACAAAATATCATACGATAAAATTTTAGGACTAAACGTCGCAGTTAACATTCAATAGGTTCTTTGCTCCGTTTATGATCCAGGGGGAGGGGAGTTATATGCTCACGTGGGATACATATTTTTTTTTAATATTTACAACAATATCTATATATTCAGAAGAAAAAAAATTAATATACCCAAACAATAATAATTTTATTTTTCTAATATGCAGGGAAAAAAAGATTATATCGATTTATCAACAAATTGATATTATAATAACCTTAAAATACGATTTTAATGATCAAATCGCATTAAAAAATAAAACACCCTTTCACTATCCCACGATGCAAAAATAATTTGACCGTCACTGTTGTGATCTAACGGTAATACAATAATTTTGATAATGTTTAACCGGCCGTTGTTTCACGCAGTCGCGGATGGTATTAAAACATTTAATAAGTACCTACTATTGTCCTATGAAACCGCGAAAACAAACAAATAAATTACGACCGAGCGTTTTTATCTACTACAAATAACACTTAATAATAACAACAATAATAACAATACGATTTCAGTACTGACCGTAATGGGTTTGGAGGTGGTGGCCGCGTGGTCGTAGTCGGCGGTGACGGCGGCGTCCGGGTCCGCGGTCTGGTGACCGAACGGCACAGAGTCGATGAGCAACCGCAACCGGTAACCGTACGGCTGAGTGACCTTGTACCGGCACTCGGAACCGGGCGTGAACACGACGGTGCCGTTCTGCTGGGCCACGTCGTTGTCGAAACAGTTGGCGGCCAACCGGTAAACGATGGAGAACGCGTACCGGTTCACCGTGGACGTGATGGCCGGCGGCGGCGGTGGCGACCAGCCCGCGTCCAGCACGTAGTGCCGGTCGGCTTCGCGCAGGTCCTCCAGCTTTCCGCACACCGGCTGGCGGCCGGACACCTGGAGCCAGCCGCGTTTGCACGGCACGTTCAGCTTGACGATGTCGATCACCAACCGGGCGCGGTGACGCTGCGCGAACCTGACCACGCACTGCTGTTGCTGAGGTCCGCGGACCGGCGGCAGGTCCCTGGACGACAGCCGACCCGATTCGGCGGGCAACAGGTACAGCTCGCAGTCTGCGAACCGAACCCGATCGAATCAATGTCTGTCGTTCGAGTGCTGTTTTGAGGTTCACACTATGTCCGTCTCTACGGCGGCAACTCTAACACGCGCGTGGGGGCAGAACCGTCGCAACGTACGTTTTTCGGGATCGGGGCGAAATCGATGCAGGATCCCTGGGTTCGTCATAAAGCGATGCGATAAACAAATAATATGGTCGCAGAGGTTTGGAAAATGTTAGAAAAAATTTGATCAGTCGAGGTCGTTCAACTCATAATACGATGTAGACGTCGACACAACTTACGGAGTATAGACTTTTGAGATATTGAAATAAACTCTCTGGCAACTATGTACTAGCTTTACGACCATAAACGGTAAACATTAGACGACGGACAAGCGATAATGAAAGTATATTGAACATTCAATAACACAATATTAGGTATATGAGTAAAAACTACGTAATGTAACGCGGTCAAGGGCCGACACACTACTGTGCTACTAAACGTTGATATTTGCGAATAGCGAATTTCTACAAAATAATTTGGATGTATTTTTATCGTTCGTTTTCGCACTGTGACGATAATAAACGACAATAATTATTCCGATTTAAGACGAAGAAAACTACAGAAATAAAATGAAATTATATAACTGACATATTACGGAGAAAAAGATCCTAGCAGTCGTAGGACTTGATGGGTACCGCCAAGTAATCCTAATCACATAAACTTATTATTAATTTATTGAGCGGTGGTGTGATTCTAATAATTGAAATCAGTATAAAATCGTCCATCAAAACATTTTCAACGGTCGTACAACAATAATTGTTCTTTGCTATATCGTCCTCAATATTAATGTAAAAATACGCAAATAAATTTACGATGAAACTAAATTAGTTCGCATGCTTGTATTTTAAAATAAATGTTTTCAAGAAAAGTTTGCGTTCGATTCTTTAATGATATATTTCGATATTATTTTAACCTAAACCACACTGTGGTATAAATGTGCACATCAGGAATTTCGTAAAATATACTTATAACTTCCCGACGGAGTGACAAATAACACGCCTCGGGTCTTTCAATGCGTAGATTCTGTTTTCCCCCGTAATGTTAGATCAATATAAAATTATAAACATCCCCGAATAGTGATTTTTATTCGTAACTTATTTACTTAAATTATTTAATCAGAAACTATATAATATACGATCCTCGCGATGTTGTGGTATATGAATTAAACTATAATAATATTTATTAGACTATATCGTAAACGTTATCGTGTTATTTTACCTTTTAGTATTTGTATTCTCTTTTTGAACTGGTTGGTATCTGGTGCTCCTAATGTACTATATTCTAATCTGAAACAACGCCAGTAATCATTAATATTATATATTATTGTACAACATTAAATAGCTAGTATATACTAATACAATTACACACCAAAAAGTGATTTAGTAAAACCAACCGATCTAATCGAATTTCCCGCGAGAATTCGCAATAGATAAGTACCTACTGCGCTAGACCGACTAATAAAACTCTACTATAAATTGTATTAACATTATTATTTTATTACACGCCAGGTAGGTACCACGATCCTCGTTTAACGTGGAATCCATCGAGAACAAAAATAAACGTTCTATCTTCACAAAAATGAAAAATATCAATCGCGTAAATGAAAATAAGAAAAACCAAATTTGTCAAATCTTTGTCATGTATGTATTGCCAACATAAAAACGTGAAAATATATTCATAAAACATATATTTACATATCAATACAGTACTTGTCCATCATCATTGCGGACATTTCTATGTACTCCACCGAACTACAAATAATTAGAATTTTCGCTTTAGCAATCATATTACCTTTTGTTGTCAAAAAAAAGCTATTTATTATTTATTGTTATGATAAAAACGTTATTATTCATAATGGACACAAATATATTGAATAAATGAATAAACCAATCTATTTTCGTTAGTGTTAATATAACTAATTTATAAATAGTTATTTGTACTCGAAATCTACTAGAGGTGAAATTGTATTTTTCATCGTATTTATTGGACTTGATACTTATAAGGCTTTTTCTTTCGTTTAAAAAACCACAATTTAATCGTGCTCACCTATTTATACGTACAAACATGTATCGATTAATGATTACGCTACAAATGATACAATCATATTATCGTCATTTTTATCTTTCAAAAATACATAGGTTGTAGCTATTGCGGCCAATATCGCATCTATAGATTTATTAGTTGTTCCACAGCGATTTGACTCTCAACTCGATATAGGTACGTACAATAAATCACTTTTTACATTGTTGTTAGTCTATCTCATAACAGTTACCAATCTACAATTTATTGGCATGAAAACAACGAATCGTAAACCGTTCCAATTACCTCGAGTTTGGTTATTTTTTTTTATTTCTGGACAATCGTAAGTTTTAACAACTTTTCGATATCGTCCACTCATTGAAATTTACATTTAGTATTATTGGTGTATGTATACTTAACTGCTATTATTATTATTTTTTTCTCATTGTAATATCTACACAAAACGACTAAGTGTCAAATAATCCACGTTTAAAATTAAATATTCATTTTTTTGATTACATATTGAAAAAAAAAATTTTCTTCAACAAGTTAAGAAAATTCCGTCATGTTCAGTAAAAAAATACTTTTTTTTTTATGGAAAACGCCATTTTCTAATGCTTTTTTTTTATTAATGGCAAAATGGGTTTTGAAACGCATTATTAAAACATTTGTAAACTGGGATATAACATAATATTACACAAAAATAATTTTCTCATTTCTCGCTTGACTGCGTATAGGTATTATATAATAATCCGTCAAAAACATAAAAAAAAAAAAAAAACCATGCATTTGTAAAAATATTAAGTTAATTGCATCAAGCTAATATAGAAATAATTTTTACGCCAGGGATGTAAAAACGAATTATTTACAAATTATTTGAAGGAAAATAATGAATGAAAAAATTTCCAATATATATTATTTTTGTCCCAATGTATATACATATATACATTGTACAGTATACAAAAGTAATAATATTAAATGAAAAAATACCAACTTATACAAGAAGTACAAAAAATCTCAAGCATCTAAAAACGTTAATTATGTTTAAAAATCTCTAAAATCAAATTTTAAATAACTGTAATAATATTACTATTATTGAAGAAAAAAAGAGGTGATATCATACTTGATAAATCACTCTGTAGGTATGTATAATATTTTTAATTTTGTATCGATTGTTTTACTAGTAAAAATACATTTTTACTACAAATTCAACTATAAAATATTATTGATTATTTTATTTTTATTTTTTGTCTTAAATTATACATACCTTCCTAGCATTACGTGTATAAACCATTTTATAGCATCTATACATTAACATATATATTATTTTGAATTATTTTTATTGGTTATTATGAATTATCAACTGTAGAATAATCAATAATTTATTATTCTCATTGTTTTTACAATAATTATTATTATTCAATGGTTTATTGATGTTTTTAGTAACTTAATGTGATTGCTGAAGTTGAACATTTTAATTATAAACAAATAATATTCTATCGTTGGGTAACATAATATCTTCCACTCATCTGTAATCAATTATACATTATAATATTTACTAATTGTACACCACAAAATACGATAGCGGTTTGTATTTAGTCAGAAATACAGTAATTGACCGCTAAAAAGGGTCTCTGAAATTATCCCGGATAAAAGAAATCTTCATCAAATTAGTAAACAGGTATATAACCGGACGGTCATTCGGATGACCCACGATGGACAAAAGCAATACTATATGATAACCTAAAAACATTTACTATATACTTAGTACTGAAGTATAAATTGTATATATTATCATTTATCGTACTTATATCTTTATGGCGCAACTGTTTGAAGTTGTACCCATAATTGGATACTATACTACGCGCAGCTACCACGAAAATAATTATGTTATTATAAATTTGGAATAACCCGCATTAAGTTAAATTATGTGGCAATGTATTATTTAAAATGATAATTTAATGACCAATTAAAAATAAGATATTATAATATCATTATCACTAAAATAAATAAGAATACTAAAATAAATGTTTTCTTACATACAATAATATGTTTTAAATTGATTTAGTAATTATATTTTTTTTTTCTTTAAATTTAAATTGCTATTATAATTTTAATATAGCCTCCAAGGTAAGTTTTTAATAAAAATAATGTTGGTATAACAGTGTTCACGGTGAATATTTGAAATGGTTATAAAAACAAATTTAAAACAGGTACTTTTTACATAAAAAATAACAAATAATGTGTTCGTTATTGGATTCATATTAACTACTTATATTAATAACTATTGGTAATCTACTTATAACTATTATTAATTTTACTTATTTAAGTTTAATTTTTTTTTTTTTTTATTAGTAATACACATTTAATTATTTCTTTAATCAATAGAAAACATTAAAAAAAAAAATACTATTGTAAATCTTTATAAAATACCATTGACCATATTATATGATATAAATAAAATCAACAAAAGAATATTCAATTAATAACATTCCTATTATGTATTATGCTGTATAAATAAAAAATAAAAATAAATTATAACTACGTAATTTTAATGTTTTATTTTTTTATTGCTGTAATAAAAACTAATGAAGAACTTTACTTCGAACTAAATTGTAAAACTATAATTGATTGAAAAAAACATTTTATCAGTATAAACCGAAAAATTTGAAATCTTTAAATTTATAATGTAAAAAGTAAAAAAATATTTTTAAAATGATAAAATATCTAAAATTAACTACATAACATAAATCTTAAGTAAAAATTTTAGCTGCATTTAAATAGGATGCCAAAAAAATGTCTGAATTGCATGTCACCTCTTAGAAGGGTAATGTCCAAACTGCATGCCATGTACTCACAAGTTTATCTTTATTTATCATGTACTTATGTGCATAACGTAAACTTTGTTCTTGACTTTCCTAATTTTTTTAAAAAAGATTACACTATTTATATTGTATATTGTTAAAAACTCCACCCAATTTTATAATATTATTATTCATTTAAAATGCCATGTAAAAGTGTACAATACATTCACTTGATTACTTTAGTTCATTGCAAGATGACGCCTTGACAATCGTTTTATTTAATATTCACAGTGTCATCTTCTATAATTTGGTTAAATGTTTACTCGGATAAAAAAATATTTCAATTCTGAGACTAATCAGTTTCTAATCAGTATTCATGCGTTCTTTTTAAAAAAAATAAAAATTCAAAAATAAAGTTTAAGTTGTGCATGTAAGTGCATGATAAATAAAGATAAACTTGTTGGTACAGGACATGCAATTCGGACAGACCTCTCCAAGAAATGGCATGCAATTTGAACATTCCATTTTATATTTATTTTATTAGCATACAACTCGGATGCACCGGAAATTTTAAGTTTAAAATAGTAACTTATTTTTTAATTATTTATAAAAACGAGCACTCGAGTTTTTATGATAAATAATTAATTCATTTTTAATATTTTTTTACATTTTTCACGAGAACATGTAAAACGATTTTTTTCATAGAATTTTCAGTTTTTGGAAGATTATAAAAATTTAAACCTAAGTAGCCAAATAAAAAAGGTCAGTGTAGAAGATTACAACATTTTTTTTTAGTCTAGAAAAAGGTCCATATGAAGAGATTACACATGCAAAAGTGTTAATCATGTAATCTGAAAAAACTAAGATGAGTGATGAAAGATTGAAGACTAGGATACAGTGGTGTAATCAGAATTTCTTAAAAGAGGAAGGGGAAAAATAAAAAAATTTATACTGTTGCTTTTAAATACTTTTTTTTATAATATATAAAATTATAACTTTACCAAATTTAAGAAAAAAATTGCGCAAAGGATACACTTCAACATACAAATTCACATGACTGATTGAAGAAAATCAGTAAAATAAATGATATCCTTTAACCTTTTCAGATAAATGATAATTTATTTTAATATTAACATTTTTTTTTTTTTTTTTTTTATATTTTATAAGTTTACAATTAGTTTACAGTTAAACAAGACAGTAAAAATACAGATTCAGTTATGGTATTATGTAGGTATTGAGGATCATTAATCATTAAACCATATATCAATCGATCACAGTTGTTTACTAATAGTTGTTGTACAGTTGTATATTAACTTTTATTTTAACGCAGTAATCAAAATTCGTAACGGTAAAGATTTTCTCCCTATACGCCATGAACAAGTATATTGTTATCAATATAATCATATTATCTAATCTTATATTTGTAAACGTATAACTATATTCGTCATATTTTCCTTTTTTAA